CGTCCAACTCATCGTGATGTTGGCATCTATTTTCAATGCCGCTATGGCGAACTGTATCTTTCCCGCGGTGTGGAAAGAAGCGGACGTTATCGGCATACATAAACCCGGTAAACCAAAAAATCATCCGACGAGCTACCGCCCGATTAGCCTCCTCATGTCTCTAGGCAAACTGTATGAGCGTCTGCTCTACAAACGCCTCAGAGACTTCGTCTCATCCAAGGGCATTCTCATCGATGAACAATTCGGATTCCGTACAAATCACTCATGCGTTCAACAGGTGCACCGCCTCACGGAGCACATTCTTGTGGGGCTTAATCGACCAAAACCGTTATACACGGGAGCTCTCTTCTTCGACGTCGCAAAAGCGTTCGACAAAGTCTGGCACAATGGTTTGATTTTCAAACTATTCAACATGGGCGTGCCGGATAGTCTCGTGCTCATCATACGGGACTTCTTGTCGAACCGCTCTTTTCGATATCGAGTCGAGGGAACCCGCTCCTCCCCACGACCTCTCACAGCTGGAGTCCCGCAAGGCTCTGTCCTCTCACCCCTCCTATTTAGCTTATTCGTCAACGATATTCCCCGGTCGCCGCCGACCCATTTAGCTTTATTCGCCGACGACACGACTGTTTACTATTCTAGTAGAAATAAGTCCCTAATCGCGAAGAAGCTTCAGAGCGCAGCCCTAGCCCTAGGACAGTGGTTCCGAAAATGGCGCATAGACATCAACCCAGCGAAAAGTACTGCGGTGCTATTTCAGAGGGGAAGCTCCACACGGATTTCCTCCCGGATTAGGAGGAGGAATCTCACACCCCCGATTACTCTCTTTAGACAACCCATACCCTGGGCCAGGAAGGTCAAGTACCTGGGCGTTACCCTGGATGCATCGATGACATTCCGCCCGCATATAAAATCAGTCCGTGACCGTGCCGCGTTTATTCTCGGTAGACTCTACCCCATGATCTGTAAGCGGAGTAAAATGTCCCTTCGGAACAAGGTGACACTTTACAAAACTTGCATAAGGCCCGTCATGACTTACGCGAGTGTGGTGTTCGCTCACGCGGCCCGCACACACATAGACACCCTCCAATCCCTACAATCCCGCTTTTGCAGGTTAGCTGTCGGGGCTCCGTGGTTCGTGAGGAACGTTGACCTACACGACGACCTGGGCCTCGAATCAATTCGGAAATACATGAAGTCAGCGTCGGAACGATACTTCGATAAGGCTATGCGTCATGATAATCGCCTTATCGTTGCCGCCGCTGACTACTCCCCGAATCCTGATCATGCAGGAGCCAGTCACCGTCGACGCCCTAGACACGTCCTTACGGATCCATCAGATCCAATAACCTTTGCATTAGATGCCTTCAGCTCTAATACTAGGGGCAGGCTTAGGGACCCCGGTAACCGTACTCGTCGAACTCGACAAAGAGGTCGACGTGCAACCTAACCCATGCATCAGCCCGCTGAGTTTCTCGCCGGATCTTCTCAGCGGGTCGCGATTCCGATCCGGTAGTAGATTCATTCGCGAAACAATTGCTCTTGAGTTGTTAGGTCTCCTGCGGAGGCGCTCGGGCAGTTGTTAGCAAATCCCACCCCTCTTGGCTGAGCCTTTGCTCGCCCACCTGTCCTGGTGAAACTGGAAAGGCCTTCGGGCCACCAGTAAACTTTCAATCATAAAAAAAAAAAAAAAAACTTAGCACTCTTGACAAGCCTGTCCTTCAGAATCCAACCCACGAATGTGTCACATCAGATTGGTAGGATGATGATGAACCAGGACAGGTTGGAAGCATTTAACAGAGGTGGTCAGTATCGCGTATAGATTTCGATAATACTACAAATAGCTCAGAATGTAGGTTCCGTTCTATGTTCACAAATGGCCAGTGATGGAAGAAAGGTGAATTTCTCTTAGCTGCATTTCTTCTCAATCTGAGATTTCACGGGTGGTAGGAAGTGTTGTGAGTACGCACGGGTAAACACCACCACCCTGCCTATTTCTGCCGTGAAGCAGTAATGCGTTTCGGTGTAAAGGGTGGGGCAGCCGTTGCACTATTAAAACGGAGACTTTAGAACTCTTGTCTTAACGTGGATGGTGGCAGTTGAGTTGTAGATGTTTATGGGTCTGGTAACCACTTGGCATCAGGTAGATCATAAACTCGTCCATCCATCTCAATCAAAAATAAATCAGATTGTTAAGGTGTATTATCTGCCGCTTTCTAAGGGTGAAAGTAATATCTAAACTGTTACCTATGTTTCTTCTGGTTGAATTGATTGCGGGATCCAAGACAAATTGGCTTTCCATCGGTTGCCCTGAACACCGTTCAGAGTATTTTCATGTAATCCTGACTACACCAAAATTGCAGTGACGGGAATGAATAGCGGGCCAATGCTCGTATTCCACAATCCTCTGGCCTTGAGTCGTATGAATAACTCTAGAACTGGAATGGATACATAAATGTATGTGTAAGGCCGTCCTTACGATCTGCTTTATACCCTTTGAATTTGAAATAATGTGGGCATGAACCTTGAACGTGACCCGAATGCGAAACAATTCACAATTCTCACTGGAGTTCTAAAATATAGCGTGTTATATTATGAATAAAGCGCTCCCCTGTTAATTCCAACGGAGTAAAGCAGGACTAGTTTTTTCGACATAAACATAATATAAAAACACGTGATACTGATTTAATGGTGATCAAAAACGATAAAGCGGCTATTCGTTTTATTTATGACATGATGAATTCGATCATCGGCCACTTATCATAAGGTCGGTGGCGACATTCACACTGTGATGTGAATGGGCTCCGTTAACCATTTAAAACCGGGAGCATAATTTGTTTGCTTGTCAACTTCTTTGTCGTATCACTCTTGTGAGAGGGATCGTGGTCGTCATTTAGTATCATTTTATTACCACTTCTCCCGGCTTGTGGTTGTGGTGAGTCTGGTACACTCATGGAAACAACCGCCAACTGCTGACTTGACTTGATCGGTCCATCGCACGGGCAACTATCGGCGTGGAAGGTTGCTTGTCAAATACAGCTCTACAAAAACTTGCTATAAACGAAAGGGTGATAAAAACCTTGATATCACAGATAGCTGATAGCGGCTTAGAAAAGTATTGAGGTTTAACTCCTTTTCCAAGGTTTTTTTTCCTACCTAAGCTGGTAGCCTTGAGAGGCTATTCCAACGTAACATTAACTAGTAGGTGAGCTCACGCGGCTCAAACCTGACGACGTTGCTAACACGAATCCTAGCAAGAGCCGAGCTTCGCAGAATCTACCACCGGATCGGAAATGCGACCCTCTGAGAAGATCCGGCGAGAAACTCAGTGGGCTGTGTCTGTGGGTTGATTTACTTCGTCGCAGGCAACGGGTTTGATGAGAACGATGACCGGTACTTGAGGTACCTAAAAGCACTGTGAGTGTATCGGGAGCATCCCAAATGACGTGTTTTGGGCGACGTCGACTGCTTTCCATTCTTTCCGCAGGATCGGGATTTAACTCCAGTGAGAACGTCACGATGCAAGCTTTTGAGTGTCAGCCGAAATTGCTTTTTTTTTAAGCCCGTTCATTTCATGCAGAACAATTTAATTCAGCTCCGACAAGATCTATTGTTTCGATTAATATCGATTTGTTTATAACTCATGCCATCTCTCAGTGACCTTCGCTTTAGTATTACAGATTCACGTTTTATTTATATCCTGGATTTGGGTAGATCTTTACCACCAAGTGTTAACATGGCCAATTGAATATGACCTAAATATAAGTTAAAGTCTTAATTGTCTATATCTATACTAATATTATAAAGAAGAAAGATTTGTTTGTTTGTTTGTTTCGAATAGGCTCCGAAACTACTGAACCGATTTGAAAAATTCTTTTTCCATTAGAAGTCGACACTGTCCCTGATGAACATAGGCTACTTTTTTAAAAAAAAAAATTATTTATTTTTTTGGTTTCATGTGTGTTTTAATGTTTCCGAAGCGAAGCGAGGGCGGGTCGCTAGTATTCTATAAACAGCTAGCCCCAACCTACAAATTAGAATGAAAGTTTGCTTGGCGTCAGAAAAAGATAAGATGATAATAATGTGAGCAAGTTTACGACCATTTTGGGTAATATTGCCGTATGGTCGTGAGTACCGTGTGTGGCGAGGCTTTTAGCCCATAGTCACAATCCACTGAGCTTTTCACCGGATCTTCTCAGTGGGTCGCGATTCCAATCCGGTAGTAGATACAGCGGAACACTGTTCTTGCTAAGACTAGTCTCTCAGGTTGAGCCCGTGAGCACACCTTAGAATTTGCGCGAAGTTGGAATAGTCATTTAGGCTGGCTACCAACGATTAGGTAGGGGAAAAAAGCGAGTTAATGGCTATAGGACGCATTGCCAATACCTTATATTTAGAATTCATGGTTACGGTTTGAAAAGTGGGCGAGCGGCTATTCAACTCCAATAACATAATGATATTTAGGAGATAATATCAAATGATCTCTGTTAAAGAAACAAATTAAATTAAATTTATCTTTTTCACGACATTTCTTATTAAATACTTGCGGACCCGGCAGACTTCGTAGTGCCTAAATCGATAAATGAAAGGCCTAAACTTTTGTATAAATTAAACTTAAAACAAACAAAAAGAATCCGTCCGACGGGGGGCGACGGGGGACAACACATCAAAGGGAAAACAAAATTATTATTTTTATTTAATTCCGAGCATTTTCATATTTATCTACCTTTTAAACCTTCTCTGGACTTCCACAAATATAATTCAAGACCAAAATTAGCAAAATCGGTAAAGCCGTTCTCGAGTTTTAGCGAGACTAACGAACAGCAATTCATATAACTTATATTATAACTTATAACTAATATATTCGTATAACTTAAAAAAAAAAGTGTGGTGTCGTGGGACACCGGATAGGAATGAAGTTCATTCTTACAACTTAAAATTAATATTTTTATAATAAGGATTCCTAATTATAAAAGTGTTAATTTTAAGTTCTATTCGAGGTATAAAGAAAATAATTATTCGGGTATACATTTTTTATTAATTATGATTTTTTTATTGATAAAAATAAAAATAATCGCATGGGTCAACCAATCCGTAGTGCAATGGAGCAGGCTCGCCCTGGGAGAACCGCCTGCATGATCACCGTATCCCCTACGCCAGTTAAAATTAAATATGATTTAGCAAGAGAAATACGAGAACGTCTTTCAATTGTGTAACATCTCGTCACCGCGATTCAGCGACATCTGTTGATAACAAACTAAATAGAAAAAATCTTACGTTACGGACGCTTTTTCTCGGTTAGGGTACCCATCCACATCGTCCCATAAGGAACTTCGTTCCAAAACTCTTTAAATTAAGTGCGTTAATAATAACGTTAATAATAATTTCAATACAATAACGCGTTTAGGGTGCTGGTGGTGCTGCCCCGCTTTTGTAGCGCATCAGGGATGTTTGCAGACGCGCACATAGATTGTTTCTACGCTACCATGCGTAAGAGGTGTGCATCTCTGGTAAACAGAGTGAGGGCCAGCTCCAACAGTATCCTGAGCATGATCGCAAGCAGGCTGGACTGTATATACATGGGTCGNTAAACAGAGTGAGGGCCAGCTCCAACAGTATCCTGAGCATGATCGCAAGCAGGCTGGACTGTATATACATGGGTCGCTGTGGTGCCATCTCCCATGGGATGTTACCACAGTAATTCATTGTGATGTAAATATAACTACTATTAACAATTTATATGAGTCATGGATACTTGAAATAAAAACATTATTATTATTATTATTATTATTAATAGTACATTCCTATATACCACAAAAGCACTAACATTCTCGCACAGAAATCGAAGAAATTCACGAATGTAATTTCGTATTACCACAAAAGAATGTGTACAATACACTAGAGTCCCAAGTAGAAATACGAAATACTTCTATTAGTAATATTACGACCAATATAATACAACATACGAGGCATAAAACATAATCCAGTTACGTATTTCGGCCACAAGAAAACACAATTCGAATGTTTGTTACAGTATACGATACGATTTGACGGATCGGATCTAAAAGTTCATCATGGAAATTTATGAGGCACGGTTTAATTATTATTATAACGTATATGTTTTATTGATTAAATGTGTGGAGGAGCTCACAGCCCGCCTGGTTTTAAGTGGTTACTGGAGCCCATAGACATCTACAGCGTCACCCACCTTGAGATATAAGTTCTAAGGTCTCAGTATAGTTACAACGGCTGCCCCACCCTTCAAACCGAAACGCATTATTGCTCCACGGCAGAAATAGGCAGGGTGGTGGTACCTACCCGTGCGGACTCAAAAGAAGTCCTACCACCAGTAAGAATATTGGCACGGGCTTAATAACGTGATTTGGATTTGTTGTATTCATGTGGGACTACATTACATTAGAAAGAAATGAGAAGAAAGCAGTATGCGGGATTATCAAAACAAACGTAGGTTTAAGAGACACACTTATGACACACAAAAATAACTTTAACGCATCTTTATCTGGTTTGAACTTTACCTCCTGGTAGTATGATTTCAAAAATATACTACATTATAATTAGCTTCGAATAAATTTTGAAAAATATGATTGTGTGTTCAAATGTTTGTAAGGTTATTATCGGCTTTTGCACTACAGTTTCTATTAATAGTAATCTTCGTGAAGTATAACACTGTATTGTAATTACTTTATAAAAAATATAACCAATATTCCTAATCAAATCAAATATATAATAAATCATAATTATATAACCATGCTCCCTCAAATTTCATTGTAAGCCCATTGTTTCTGTTTGATAATATGTTTTTTATTTTATTTTATTGTTTAGTTGGGCGGACGAGCTCACAGCCCACCTGGCCTTAAATGGTTACTGGAGCCCATAGACATCTACGGCGTAAATGTGCCACCCACCTTGAGATATAAGTTCTAAGGTCTCAGTATAGTTACAACGGCTACCCCACCCTTCAAACCGAAACGCATTACTGCTTCACGGCAGAAATAGGCGGGTTGGTGGTACCTACCCGTGCGGACTCACAAGAGGTCCTACCACCAGTAATGGTCCATTGACAAGATCCGATTTGTCGTAACGCGCCTTATAAAAGGCTCAAACTACAAATCCACCTTCGCTAGAGTAAACTAATAAAACGGAGACACACAAAAGACGCAGGGCGATGCCCCCCGCGTACTATCAAACGGAAGTCCGCATCTGCACCGGATGTTGTCACGTGTGACTTCAATTGTTCCGATCAACGACCGAGTTTTCGCGACTTCTTTATCGACACATTTACGAGTATATGTTTACATAGCATCTGGTGAGGTACTGAATTGGGAAACGTATGTTTTATTTTGGGTTCGATCTTTGGGATTAATTGCGTGTGTTTCTTGGCTCTGTACCTGGCATTGCTAAGTCCATGGGCGATGGTAACCATTCACCATCAGGTGGGCCGTATGGCTCGTCTGTATATAGGGGCAAGAAATAAAAGTGTCAAATTGGTGGCTCGTTTAAGTCGTCGTGGCCTAATAATATGCCTGAGAAACTGATGGTAGGACCTCTTGTGAGTCCGCGCGGGTGGGTACCACCACCCTGCCTATTTATGCCGTGAAGCAGTAATGCGTTTCGGTTTGAAGGGTGGGGCAGCCGCTGTAACTATACTTGAGACCTTAGAACTTATATCTCAAGGTGGGTGGCGCATCTACGTTGTGGATGTCTATGGGCTCCAGTAACCACTTAACACCAGGTGGGCTGTGAGCTCGTCCACCCAGCTAAGCAATAAAAAAAAAAAAACTTGTAAATGATGTAATGATTGGCATATTATGCTACTATATTTAATTACTACTAATTTTTCTCAGAAAATATGTGTCATCTTACCTCCATCCTGATTATTTCTGCCGCGAACTAATAACGTTCCGATTTTGTTCACACAGTTGTTGAACTATGTAATTGCGACTTCGACAACATGTACCAAAATAGCCGACGGCATTTACGTAACTATATCTCTAGTTTCCGGTAACCACTTGCTGCATGACGGACCGTGAGACCTGTTACCAATATTTGCAATAAAATATCCAGAGACTGTAAATTCTCGTCCGGTGGTTAATGTTACATTGAGATGTATGCCTTGAGATGTGTGTTCAAAATTCCGATTTGAAGAAGTAGCGCAAGACTGCTTCGCACCAAAAATAGATACGGTCTTAGTACCTACCTCCTTGGCCACATTGCGATGTACCACTAGTGACTAGTTAAAGGTTAGAAAACCTTTGTTTAATTTATGCATTTTGTTCTGTCCATAGGTACACGGTTCGTGGGGTCTTCCAGCCTTCGTGTGTGACGTGTACATAGCAATGGATGTAACCTCGTCCACTTCTAGCATATTCAATTTAGTCGCTATATCCATTGATAGGTAAGTAATGATTTAGATACCATAAAAATATTTTTAAGCAAATTTATAAAATTATAGTCTATGTTGGTTGGATTGGCTCCTTAGTGCAAACCACCACTCCATCTACTGCCAAGGGTGACGATTAAGGTATTCATAAGCCCAGTGAGTTTCTTCCCGAATCTTCTCAGTGAGTTGCAATTCTGATTCGGTGGTAGATTCTGCGAAGCTCTTGCTAGGGCTAGTATTAGCAAATTCTCTCAGGTTGAGCCCGTTAGCTCGCCTACCCGTTTGGACGTAGCTGCAATAGCCCCCTAGGCTACCTGAGAATAAGGAGAGGAAAAAAAGGTTCATCAGAGATTAGGCAGTAGCAATTTCTGAATTCGTTAATATCTACGTATTACGTACTACGTAGTGAGTATGGAAACCATCCACCATCCTGCCTGTTTCCACCGAGACCTAATCCTTAGTTTCTGCCTTGACGTGTGTGGTCAGAGACTTCGATGTTAAGTCTCAAATTAAAAAGGGGCTGTTGGACTATGGACACCGCTTAAAACTAGGATAGTGAGCTCATTCGTTCATCTAGTATTATAATAAATAAAAATAGTCGAAGTCACTTGCACTAAACGCTTTTTTGATTTGGCTGATCTGATTCTGATAAGACTTTATCGATTGGTACTGAATTTAGTGGGTATTTTGTAGAATCGTTTTTATTTCTAATATATTGCCTACAATATGACAGTAATGTTATAACAATAACCTTGATCTTACGTAGCGGTATTACCGTTCGCACGTCATTCCCGGTGTGATGTTCATCTGCTGTCATAGCCACTTATGATCAGACGTCTGCTGATTTGAAAAGTAGCCCAGTAACCTCTTAAGGGTATCTTAACATTATTTTTCTTTATATCACAGGTACATCGCCGTCACTCAACCAATAAAATACGCAAAGCATAAAAACAACAGGCGAGTCTGGTTCACTATAGTTCTGGTCTGGCTGATATCTGCTGCTATTGGTGCTCCAATCGTCTTAGGCCTCAACGACACGCCCGACAGGAACTTTGACGAGTGCCTGTTCAATAGCCAGAACTATATCATCTATTCATCAATGGGATCATTCTATATACCGTGCATCATGATGATGTTCCTCTATTACAATATTTTTAAGGTAATCAATCTATTTTGATTTATTTGAATCTGGTACTTTTTCTAGACAGTGTACATCTATAGTAGCCCAAATTCTGGTTACTGATTACTTATATGTGATTATGTTAAATCCTCTAAATTCTCCATTGTAGTGTTTCAAGCTCAATGATAGATAAGTAGATTGCTTGATTTACTTACAGACGACGTAAGAATTGTTATATAATATGTAGAATAGGGATCGCAGCGCATAAAATAAAATTTACACTGTTCCAATCTTCTGTTGTAATAATAATTAAAAATTAATTAACACTTTTATCACGCCTTATTCATTTTTTAACCGTCTTCGCTTTCTTCCTTTTCTCTGTCATTCTATCTCTCATTCTCTTCTCCCTTTCTTTCCATTTTCTGTCATTCACATCTTAACGCTCCGTTCCACGCTCATTTCATATTTTCCGTTCTTACCAATCCTACATATATAACAGTGTACCAGATAGGACTAGCATGCTTCACCAAAAACATAATATCCCAGTCAACCCAAATATTCTGACCGTGATCAAACAGAGATTAATGGAACGCGTGTCGTGCAATTTTATTCTAAATATTTTCGCAAACAAATTTGATAATGTAAGG